GTTTTGTAGTTGGGGAGGGTACGTCCGGGGGGAGCGGCTGGGTGCCGAGGGACGATTTTGGACCCGTCTCTCCTGACGGAATTCCATCGTGGGCACCCAACGCGCCCGGCTCCGCGTCCTCCGGGCCGTCCCCGAGGCCGGAGTCAGCGCACATCTGGAGCCGCGCGTCAAGGGGGGGGTACTGTCACGGTTTCGGCTGAGGCTGCCTCTCTCCCTTGTTTCGGGCAGGCTTCGGCGTTCGTTGTCTCCGGAATACTAGCTGCCACCGTTGTATGTTTCATGTTCGTTTGCTTTTGTCTGAGTGTTGTCACACCTGTTTTCATTTAGTGTCATTAGTGTCCTATTTAGTTCCCGTTGTGTTTGTCAGGTGTTGTGTATTATTGATTGTGTCAGACGTGTTTTCGCTCGGTTGAGCTTCTCTCTACTGCGCTGGAGTTTACGCACCTGTTTGTGCGCTGTTTTGTTTCTTTTTCGCCTTCGTGCGTATTTCGCCTTCGGGCAAGTGTTGTCCGTTTGCCGTGTTTCGGCTTAATACAAGTCTGTTGGATTATCCGTCTGCGTCCTGCGTTTGATTCCGCCACTGCACCTACAGCACGCCTTGACATAGGTGCAACCAAAGAATGACAAGGGTTTGAGTGAGAGGTCTAACTGGTCTTTCCAAGTGGCCACACACCTCTCCAAAGTGTGCACAGTTCCTAAGTAATTTCAATGCACTTTTATGACTCAAAGAAGTCTTCAACTACAGTATAAGGTGTTTTTTTAATGTTCTATTGCCAACATGAGTAGATAAATTATAAAATATGATATTACAATGTTAAGGCTTTCACAAGGCAATTCAGAGAAGCAGTTCATTTTGTTGCGCATAGAATGGAGTCATGAGTGCATTCAGATGCATGGTCCACAGCAAATCTTTGTCACAATACAACAAACATTTTCTCATTCTGTTCAGAACAAACCCAGGGTATGACGCCATGTCATCTTGTAACTGTACATCAAACATAGTGTCCAGAAACGTTGACATGGTGTTATATTACATGAGTTTTATGATATGGAAATGTGAAGTGCACATGTATACAGCCACTGCGTTACAATATAGGCCCTATAGAGTTCAAATCTACCTGTAAAGGGCTACAAACAAATTCTTATTTACAATGACAGCCTGGCCAGTGAAGACTGGGAAGTGCGGTGCAATAAATCAATTAACAAAAAAAACATTGAAATCACAGGACAAGACAGACATGACAACTTAGAAGGACACGGACATGTGACAACACAGAAGGAGAGGGACATGTGACAAACACAGTCAATACAGAACAGTTATAGCACTAGGAGAACAGATATCACAACAACACAGCGGGCAGAAACACATGGCTACAGCACAGCATTTAGTAAAAACAGTCAGCATAGATAGTAGACAATTAGCAATAGAATGGAAAAGATAAACGGTTGAGATTGTTATAATTTAAATCTTACAAACAAGGTTGTCAAACTATTTGATAATTTCTTGAAAAAAAATATTTTTTAAACCTTAAAGCATGCTGTTTCCAACCGATGGTGGACACAACACAAAAACCTCAGATTATGTAAAGTAGGGTCTAAGATACAACGTATGCTAATATATTTTAAAAAACTGAAATGTACATGTGTTTAGATAATTGACATTAAAGATTAAAAAATGACAGAATAAAAAAAGAATAATAATACTAATAATTTAAAGAAATTATAAAACTGTTTGACAACCCTGTTTGTAAGCTTTCATATTATATACAACTCAGCCGTTTATCTTTTCCAGTGACGAAGACATGGATGTCTCATGGTTTGGTGGGATATGGAAAATTAGTCAACTTTGAGCACCTTTAACTCCTGAATGTTTTGGCATTCATGTCCAAAAAGTCACTTTCTGACTACTTCTTCCATTGGAAAACATGTATGGAAAATATTGTTTAAATCAAAAGGGATGCTGTCAAAAGGTGTTTGAATTCAAATGGACTTACCTGATATAAAAATCTAAGTCTGTCATTTTCCAGTTCTCTCTAAAAAGCCACTAGAACCATATGCTAACTTTAGCTACAGCTAGCTAGCTAACAATCAATAGAAGTGATAGGGGCAACCGTGTATTGTTTTAAAAAAATAGCTAAATGACATTTAAGCAATGTCAAACCAAATAATTGAGTTGATTTCAGTTGACTTTCCAACTTAAATGCTTTAACAGAGAGGATTTGACCTCAGTCGTGGTATCCCTATATAGCATTAGTCCTCCAATAGGCTTGATCAATTTTTGATGGGCTGCAGGTGAAGCTAGCATCGCACTTATTGATGGATAAACCAGCAAAATTTTCACAGACAACGGAGAAGCTGTGTGCCTGCCATGCTCGTCCCAACCAGAGCCAGGATTAGCACCTTCTCACCAGCCTGACCTTGATTTCTTGTGTGACCGACCCGGGTCTCGTACGTAACGCAACAGTTTTAGCCCAATGAGTTAAAGGCATTCGCTCGGAACGCCAGCGGATTAACACCTCACCTGCCTGATCCTGATTTCCACCCGACTGTGCGACCGATCAAGATTCGAACCCAGGTCTTCTGCGCACCATAAAACAGTCTTAGCCCACTGAGCTAAAACCTAGGCATTAGCTAGAAGAACCATATAATTCACCAACTCCTCACTTGCCTGACTTTAATTTCTTCCTGCCCTGATGAGACAATCCAGGGTTCAAACCCAGGACTCCTGACCACCACATTACTGTGTTACTTAGCCTTCTGAGCTAAAGCCTCTGCATTAGATTGGGGAGCCAATGGATTAACACCATCACCTGCACAACCTTCTCACTGTACTAGTGTTACCGACAAGGGTTCAACCTGGGTCTCCTGAATGTTTTTGCAGCCTTGTCTCTAGTCTGCCCATTTTAGTGTCTTGTTTTGCATGTGTAGTCTTGTCTGGGACATTAGACAAAGGTCGTCTGAAAAGTCTAAATCTTCTAGGAACTGAGGGGTCACAGTCTAAATCTACTAGGAACTGAAGGGTCACAGTCTAAGTATTCTAAGAACTTAGGGGTCACAGTCTAAATCTACTAGGAACTGAGGGGTCACAGTATAAATCTAGGAACTGAGGTGTCACAGTCTAAATCTACTAGGAACTGTGGGGTCACAGTCTAAATATTCTAAGAACTTAGGGGTCACAGTCTAAATCTACTAGGTTACTGAGGGGTCACAGTCTAAATCTTCTAGTAACTGAGGGGTCACAGTATAAATCTAGGAACTGAGGTGTCACAGTCTAAATCTTCTAGGAACTGAGGGGTCACAGTATAAATCTAGGAACTGAGGTGTCACAGTCTAAATCTTCTAGGAACTGAGGGGTCACAGTATAAATCTAGGAACTGAGGTGTCACAGTCTAAATCTTCTAGGAACTGAGGGGTCACAATCTAAATATTCTAGGAACTGAGGGGTCACAGTTAAATATTCAAGGAATTGAGGGGTCACAGTCTAAATCTTCTAGGAACTGAGGGGTCACAGTCTAAATCTTCTAGGAACTGAGAGGTCACAATCTAAATCTTATAGGAACTTAGGGGTCACAGATGTATACAGAATAATAGAGAACAATGAAACAAATATATTTTATATTGGTCTCTACTATTCTGTATTCATGAAACGTCATTAAACTAATTTGACCTGATTCTACTGTACAGGTAGGGTTATGGTCAGGTAGGGCTAGGTTTAGGATCAGGTAAGGTTATGGTCAGGTAGGGCTAGGTTTAGGATCAGGTAAGGTTAAGGTCAGGTAGGGCTAGGTTTAGGATCAGGTAGGGTTAGGGTCAGGTAAGGTTAGGGTCAGGTAGGGCTAGGTTAAGGATCAGGTAGGGTTAGGGTCAGGTAGGGTTAGGGTCAGGTAGGGTTAGGGTCAGGTAGGGCTAGGTTAAGGATCAGGTAGGGTTAGGGTCAGGTAGGGTTAGGGTCAGGTAGAGTTAGGGTCAGGTAGGGCTAGGTTAAGGATCAGGTAGGGTTAGGGTCAGGTAGGATTAGGGTCAGGTAGGGGTAGGGTTAGGGTTAGGTAGCGTTAGGGTCAGGTAGGGTTAGGGTCAGGTAGGGTTAGGGTCAGGTAGGGTTAGGGTCAGGTAGGGTTAGGGTCAAGTAGGGTTAGGGTCAGGTAGGGTTAGGGTCTGGTAGGGTTAGGGTCAGGTAGGGTTAGGGTCTGGTAGGATTAGGGTCAGGTAGGGTTAGGGTCTGGTAGGGTTAGGGTCTGGTAGGGTTAGGGTTAGGGTCTGCTAGGGTTAGGGTTAGGGTCTGGTAGGGTTAGGGTCAGGTAGGGTTAGGGTCTGGTAGGGTTAGGGTCAGGTAGGGATAGGGTCAGGTAGGGTTAGGGTTAAGGTCTGGTATGGTTAGGGTCAGGTAGGGTTAGGGTCAGGTAGGGTTAGG